TGGAGTGTCTCACTTAGGTGTCCCAGAAGTGGGATATTCAGCCAGGCTTGTTGCAGCTGGAGTGTCTCACTTAGGTGTCCCAGAAGTGGGATATTCAGCCAGGCTTGTTGCAGCTGGAGTGTCTCACTTAGGTGTCCCAAAAGTAGGGAATAAAAATCTGACTTACATATTACTACCACACCTTGTTTTAAGGGGAACTATTTATTCACTGACAAATAGATTTCAACAAAAAGAATCATGATAAAAACATTTTATCGTAAAGTAATAGAATTAATGAATGAGGAACCAATATTAAATATGCACACTAATGATAAAATTTACTGCCCCTGCAATGTGCTTCCCTGAAAGTCTGAAAGGATAGCTTTGGACTTGATTAATAATAAGATTTCACATTTGTTAAGGGTCCATCCATAAATGACGTCACACAAATTTCGCCGATTTTTGACCCCCCTCACAAAAAGTTATTTAGCAACACCCCCCCCCCCCCAAACAAAATGTACACAAAATCTGCAAATCCCCCCTCCCCAATAAAAAAATCCCTCCGTCCACTAATGTCCTTTACAAACCCTTAAAAAATTCAACTCCCCTCGATATCGAAATACTGCACCTGTGTCAGAAAGATTTCTCTAGAACAGTGGTTCTTAACCAAAGGGGAAAGCACCCCCTGGGGTGCGGAAGACCCAGAAAATAAATTATATTAGCTGCAATTGCTAGTTGTTTTTGCCTTTAAAAATAAAATCAGTTTTGATACATTTTGATTAACAGTAGTAAATGTCTTTCTGGTCAATTTTATTTGCGCATTAATTGCATTGTTTTTTTTTTCTTCTTTTTTCTACAGTTAGTTAAACTAAAACTAATTAATTATATTCATTTTATAAATTTTATTCCAATATAATTTATGCAGGGGGCGTATTGAAATTGATAGGGGATGCAGTGCTTCTAAAATGTTGAGACACCCTGGCTTAGAGCATTTACTAAAAACACGGCGAACCCCTTTTAAACATTTTTAGTTCTGTCCGACCTCACACACTAGCCATAATTCTGTGACTCCCATCTCCACATTTCAACATAAATTCTCACGACTTAAGTCACTACACCCTGATTCTCCTCCTCCGTGGTGTCCTGTAAACATTTTTAGTTCTGTCCGACCTCACACACTAGCCATAATTCTGTGACTCCCATCTCCACATTTCAACATAAATTCTCACGACTTAAGTCACTACACCCTGATTCTCCTCCTCCGTGGTGTCCTGTGACGTGATCAGATGCCATTTCTCGGAACTTGCATGCCTGTACTTATTCTCTCAGTGATCGTTGTTTAAAAATAAACAAATTAATTATTTTTGTATAAAATAAAAGAATAATGTTAAAATTAAGTCATTTAGTGTTTTTAAGTGAAATTTTTTCCAAGAAAGTTCAGCTTTTAATGTGACGTCACAATGCTTAAAATGCCCTCTCCCCCTTGTCAGAGAAATGTGACCTCCCCCTTGTATACAGGGAAGGTCACCGTATGGCTCCTGTAGATTAAACTTGTTGGCTCCTGTAGATTAAACTTGTAACAGGATTGATAATCCACCAACTACAAAACTATTTTAGTTTTAGGACAAATGGAAAATGAATGAGAGCTTTTTAAAAAAGACCTCTAAGTTATGCATATCAAAATTGCACCGAAATGAGAGCTTGTTTAGTTAGCTTTACTTAACCTACAGCTGATCACAAAAAGGAAATCAAAAGGGTCTGCAAGTGGAACACTCAGTGGCTCATTGTATTTTATAAGGTTCCAAGGGGCACACATTCTAGCTCAACTGATTCTATGTGTGGACATGGATTGGGTTGTGCATGAGACTTTGCATGTTGGAACACAAGTATTTTTGGTTTCATAATAAAGGTCATTTCTATTTTATGTGGCTTACTCAAACAATTATAGAATTACTTTCCCAGCTTGAATTTGAAACATTTTATATTGTGAAGATTCTATCAACCGAAGAAGTTATTCAATGTAAAAATCAACCATGACACTGACAATGCTTTTCTCAACAAATTAAAAAAAAAGTCATTTTTGAATGTTATTTTACTTTTATTTCATGGTAAAGTAAAATGAACAGTAAAAATAAATTGAACTCAAAAATTGGGGACCAACTGAAAGATAAAAAAAAAAAAATTAAAAAAAAAATGATTCAACATGATTTCACAATTATTATGTAATGCAAATGTGTTAAATTAATCAGCTTTCTAGTGGCCAGCAAAAAGGCTATTGCAGACCTGCCAAG